TGTTCATTCTCTGTCTTCAAACGACAGATTTTTAGACTTTGATGTCTTTGGTCCATTGTCATTGCACATGTTTGGTAAAAGTAGGGCTGCCTGCAAAGCTATAAAACGGTCAATAAACTATTTTTTTATTGTTGGCTGCAGCATTTAGCTAGAAAAGATTGACCTGAGTCATTTGCACGTTTTATATATTCAGCGTTTACTAAAACGTCTCATAAACATCTCATTCTGGCGCTGCGTGCTTCTAGTTTTATTTTGCAGGATTTTTACCAAAACTAATAGTCAAGATTATTTAAATTAAAGTCTTCATGACTTGAACAAGATCAACTTTTTTCTCCTGATTCTGAGCTTGAAGTTTGAGGTTAACGGATGAGATGCTGAACAGACAGGAGCATCACGTGCTCAGCATCATCATCATCACTTTTTTTTTAAAAAAACCTATTTGTAAATATTTACCTTGTTTTTCCTCTTCAGCAGGTGACTCGTAAACCCAAATATGATGTCGGTGTCAACAAAGATCGTCCCCAGGTCTATGACGCCGGGGTTGGGCTTCCCAGCTCCGGGAGCGCCCGCCGGTGAGTTTGGCAAAGCCATGGCGTTGTCCAGAAAAAGATTCCACTCGGTGGGAAACCTATTTGGTTTGTAGATCCATCAAGCTCGCGCGTCTCGTGGCCCCTGAAAAGATCTGCAAGGTGTTTTATTCCGGACATCCAGCGGGTCGCGGGGAGCTCTCGGCACGTGTGCGTAAAATCTAAACCTCTCGGGTTTCCAGATGTCCAAAAGATTCAAGAATTTAAAAAAATGGCAAGTAGTAGAATCCACCCGGCGCGTAGAGAAGGGTTAATCCACTGAGGTACTTTTAAAGCATCCTGTGACTGATCAGCTCTGAGATGTGCGCGCTGCTGCAGGTCTGAATAAAAGCCTCTCCTCCTCTCCCTCAGCCATCATCTCCTCTCCTCTCCTCTCCTCTCTCTCTCTCTCTCTCTCTCCCCCACTGAGCTCCCTTGTCACTGATGACCTCTCCCACCCGATCTGCGTGCTTGTCATCCCCCCACCCCTCCCCGCACGGAGATGATGTGTCCTGGTCGGAAGCCCCTCCTGATGACTTCTTGTACCACCTGCCTGTCTGACAGTGGCGCACACTGATGGCTCCATCTTTAGGAATCATTCATGTCTCGGATAGATTGAGATGAAGCTTCTTCTCCTCGGGTAAAGATTAATGGTGTGAGAGCTTCATTTCGGTTCATTTATTTCAACATCAATCAAATTTGTTTGCTTTTTTCTTTTAAAGTTTCAAACTACCTTTTTGTTAAAGTTTTTTTCTTTGAAAATGATCAAATCAAACATAAAGATGGTGCATTTTTCTGAAATGCAGGTAGGCAATCAATGTAAACAAAGCATTCAGTCGAATCTGGAAACTTGGAAGCGTCTGTGTGAGTCAATAAATGACTGATAATTAAAAAACATTTGACTTTTTTTTCAATCACTTTGGTTGTAACAACCTGTCAGAAAATGTACCCATAAATTTTATAGAAGCATGTTAACCATCAATATAAAATCAAAATTGGCATTGTTTTTTTTTACCATGACCAAGTGTTGCTCAAGTCATCAAACCAGTTGTTCCTATACATTTCCCAGAATGCAACAGGGCAGAAAGGTGCCTGTGTTTTAGCCCCTCCCTGTAGTGCAGCCGAACCAGACAAGTCAAACTGGATGGCTTTTCCATATTTTAGTTCCAGCTTTTTTTT